GTCGAGGTTTCGGAAAACGATCGGTAACGGTTATGAGGTCTCGGTTTCTTGAGGGCTTGGAAGAGAAATGGGATTAAGCCTTCCATGGTTGCTTCTTCTTCCTCTTTCTTCTTTGTGGTTTTCTTTTGATCTTTGCTAGTATTTGTGTTTGTAAGGTATGTGACCCAAAGTCACACCTGTGCATTTATACTAGCAATAATGGTGATTGAGATAGAGAGATGAACAACATGGTCAATGACATTTATATCCTTTAAAGAGGAAAAAGGCAAACTAAACACTAGGCTTAATAATCTGTTAGGTCCTTCCTAGACTATATCAACTCGATTACCTTTGAAAATATAGTAAGGTCAATATGTTTCCTGTAACTAACTTGAAAGTGATTCGAAGTTATGCAATGACCGAATTGAAAAGGAGATTAGTCGAGGTGTGTGTAAATTATTGCAGACACCTTTAACCATTAAATAAAAAAAAATGGTACAAAGCCCAAATTTTGAACACAAAATAAATTCCGAACGTCTTATGTTAAATTCTTAGTATGCCTATCACCTTTGGATCCAGATCTTATCCTTGAATTTTGCTTAATTTTTTTTAATGATAAATCACTCTTCTTATATTCATAAGGATCCATCTGTATATAATGAATCTCAGTTAAATTCTTTTAATTAGTCTTTTGAATATTCATATCATAGTAGGTTAATTGTGGTAAAAGTGGATACTTTGGTTAATAAATACAATATTGCGAAGAATAATGCTAGATAAACTTAAAAAGTAGACTTGATAATCTCAATCATTTATATTTACTAGACCCAAAAATTAAAGGATCGGTGAACAGAACATAGCGGAATGGAATGAATTCTGGTAGAAGAATTTTATAACTAATGCTTATAAATATGTTATAAACCTTGAGAGTTTGATGCATAGTAAAAAAGAAAATATACATTTTTGTCAATTGTAATTGAAAGAGGCCTGTTTATGTAAATTTGAATGATGGCCATGGAACACAAAAGTCAGCAAATTTGACTTTGTCCAATAGAGTTATTAGACATTTATGAAATGTCGTGCGTGAATCTATTGAGTATGTCGTTATTGACTGCTTTTATCACCAAATCAAACCTTAAACTGGGCGGCTTTACGCGTAGAGTCCTTCTCTCATAATAGAGTAAGTACGAGATATACACATAAAACCAGGGGTAGGATTTTACCTAAAATTTGTGAGTAAGACACGATTTGTAAAATTGACACGAAATTTGTAGGTTTAGTTTTAGTTCGATAGAGTTGTGAGAAATAAAAAAGGATCGATACATAATTGATTAAACACGAAATGAATATAGCAATGTAATTAGCTTGGATGAGTTTCAAAATTCTATCCGTTATGCCATTGACCATTTTTTAATAAATTAACTTCTTATTAATAAGGTAACTTTAAAATTTATCAACTGTCCTAAGTTTCTATCCAATCATCTCTCCGTTTCCGCTCGCTCTCTCACACACACATACGCTCTCTCATTTAAATTTGTATTCATTACATATTGCGAGCAATGTTATTGTGACTTAATTTGTTGACCAAATTTATTATAATCATTTTTTTTAGAGATGTGCTACAATGAAAAATTTGTTATAATCATTAGATTGACCGTGTGCTTCATTAAACTATGAAATTTGATGTTAATCGAGCAATTATAATAAAATCACACTAATAAGTCAGTAAATTAAGTTAAATTTTTAGATCTTAATAACATTTAGTCACATTCTATAGAACAATCAATTTAGGAAAGATAGTGGTTATAAAACTTTCTCTCATTAAGTACTAAAAAATTAATTTATTTTATTCTTCTTAATTTAACACTAGTAGATAACTTTCCAAAAGCAGTAGAGTTGGGGTGACAACGAGGGGGTGGTAACATTATAATGAGACGCACGGGGCGCCCCTTGTTTTACTAAAACAAATGAAATTAACCTTAATATCACTATAAATAAAACTAAAATAGAAAGTGTGAGATTAGCTAAAAAAAAAAAAATTGGGTCAAAGATTAGCATTGAAGCTTCGTAATTTTAATCACGTGAAGATTTGTCCATGGAGTCGTCACTTATCTAGAGTTTGAATGACATATAGATAGCAATCACGGGCTAAACATTACAGTTGGATCTCACCAACTTAGCACACTTTTAGATTCAAGTGCTCAAGCCCTCTTCCTCCTTTGAATTGACGACTTATTAGAGTTGTGTTAGTTTTCTCCTATTTAGTCTCTAATAAATGAATCTTAAGATACTATGGAAACAAGTGAACCTTTCACCTAACCCTACTACATAGGTCCAATTGTTTTGGTTGGGGTTGTTGGGAGAGGAGGGAATTTAAAAGGAGAAAAATAATTAAAACAAGGGGCTAAATAGAATAATCAAACGGAGACACGTGTTTGGATAATTAAAAATTTTGTTAGTTGTCTAAAATATTTCCATTTATTAATTAAGTGAGAGGCATATGTTCCCTTTCCACTTATTTTTTTTTTAAAAAAAATTGGATAAAAAATTATGTGTTATTTAAATTAAAAAGTTGGAGAGTATCAATTGAAAATTTATTTTAAAGGCTAATTAAATGAAACTAACAATATAAGGGATATTTTAAAGGCTTTTAGGTTCCTTTTATCTCCCTACAAGCTAAATCATCCATAGGAGAAAGTATTGAATATAATGGTGTCAACACTTTATCCCTGGCATGTGGTATCACTGTCGATATGGCCGAGTCAATGTAAATGGAGGCTCTAAGCTAACGCTTTAAATGAGGGTTTTTTTTAGAATTTATTACAAATATAAGTTGTATGATTAACATTTTACTTAAAAAGTATTTTTCTCTCCTTTTGTAATGCAAATTTAGGTAGTGTTTGGTAACCGGTGGTTTTTGTTTTGTTTTTTTTTATTTTATGGTAAAAAAAAAATATGTTTGGTAAATGTTTTTATTTTTTTTTAATTGCTATGTTTTAAAAACACGGCTAAAATATGAAAAGATTCAAAAGAAAGGTTTTGAAAGTATCAAAAAAAAAAATGCGCGATTGATAAAGGAATTTAATGAGATCTTGGCTTCGATCCTCCTTATCAACAAAATATGAATTTTTTTGCTTTGAGTATAAAAGTCCATCTTTCTCTTTGTCTCTCTCGATGCCAAAGACTGAAGACGAAACAAAGTCATCCCCATCGACATCGCCCCTCTCAGTTCTCTCTGTCTCTCGATGACAAAGACGAAGCCATTGTCATCCCCCCTCTCAGTCGTCTCTCTCTCTATCTCTTGCGCTGTCAAAGACAAAGATGAAGACGAAGCAAAAAAGGGGGGAAAAGATGCTTACACATGAAGATCATGACGAAGCAGAAAATGGGGGAAAACATGTCATCGCCCCTCTCAATTGTCTTCTCGAGCCTTAAATCTATGTATATTGTCTGTATATATAGGTGGGTGGTGGATTTTGGGGTTTGGGGTGGTAGATTTTGGGGGTGGATTTTCAGGAGTGGGGTTGGGTTATGGTTTTTGGTGGTGGTTTTGGATGGTTAGTGGGGTTGGGTGGTGGGTTTTGAGTGATAAATTTTTGATATAATACTAAACAAATTTTTTATTTTTGTTTTCACAATTTTTTAAATATATATGACTATCAAACATGTTTTATATTTTTAATTTTTATCCAAAAAAAACATAAAAACGAAAATGTTATCAAACACACTTTTAGTAATTAAGTTTTTACATTCAAATTTCGCTAATATATCATTTTTAATGGATAATAAGACTAATTCATTCAATTTTAATAATAACTCATCTACTTCTCGCTTCCTTTTTTAACATTTTTCACATCCAAAATCATATCTTCAAGTTGACATACTCAAACCTTAATAATCCTTGCAAAGGTAACAACTAATAACAATGGAACAAAGTTAACAATCTTTACTTCCTAATACAAAATCAATAGTACAATAGCACCCGATAAATAGGAAATTGTACACAATTCTTTGTTTGTCTCTCAAATCATCCAGTAATTCCAATTTTCACAATAGATAATAAACTTATTAAAAATTAATTAAATTAAAATTAATAAAACTGTCAAAAAGATACAATACCTTTTTGATCCAACGGAAAATGGATGATTAGGGAGCAAACCTATGTATGTAACACAATGATCCGTAGTTTTAGTTGTGTCATATGTGCATACCTTTTTTTTTTTTGTTTGTGTGCAGTAGGAACTGTGCGCAGTTTGGGACGGATTATATTTTTTCTATTTGTGTACTATGTAAAGTAAGAGTAAATATTGGATGTAACGATATAATCGTTAAATATTAAATAAATAAGTGTACAAGTGACCCTGTTTTTTTTACACAATGGTTTTTATCTAACATAGATGAGTGATTATTTGAATGAATAAAATTCATTTTTCCTATTTAGTGAGTTAACATTGGACGATTATACCACGCGATAATACTAACGTGATAAAATCGTTATACCCAATATCTACTTGTAAAGTAGATGAGAGAGAGAAAGAGAGAGGTAAACTTGTTCATTTTTGAGATTGTGACCGTTGAAAGAGAGTCCTAAAAAGTGTAAAATATTTATTAAGAGGAGAGGGATAATATAATTTTAGTTTGGCCCTTTCTAGAACATATATGTCATTGGGTCTTCATAGTTCATAGTCTAAATTCTTTTGGTCATATTTGATGTTAACTCTCAAGAATTATAGTATGGTTTGGGGCCTTTTTTCCTTGAGCCTTATGATAACATTTAACTTGTCTGGTTACCCGTCACCATTCAATAATAAATTTAGAAGTAGGTAAGATGTTACCCTCACATAATTTAGTACAATAATGCTATTTCGATCTAATTTTCTAATATAATTTATTGTCTTAATCCATCACAATTATTAAATTAGAGGTCTTAATAACTACTAACGTTCATTGTCGATTATGAATGATTAGATCAATAAATTAGATCAAAGTAATATTGCTCAAGCAGTGAAATTTACTTGTTAGCTTATTATTGAATTTTGATGTTACGTGATAGTAATAATGTGATATCGAAACTCACAATGGAGCAATAGTTATTCTTCTTTCTACGCCTACCTAACCAACATGGCTCAAATAAACATTAGTCCTGCCTCTTTGTTTTTTTGAACCCAATGGTGATATTACATACATGTAAGACTACCTTGATCTTCACTATTTGCAACCCTAATATTGAAATGGTGCTTCACTTGGCGCTCACTAGAAGAACCAATCACAAGTGCATGCTGCCCAGTTATCAACTTCCTCTTCCCATCTCCATCAGCAACGCTCAAATCCTTGCAAACATCCAACTCCACCGTCACCATCTCCGTCTTCTCTCTCTTCACCACCACCCTCTCAAACCCCACCAGCTGCACATTTGGTATTCCGGTCACTCCTTGCGAGCTTGCCGGCTTCCAAAACACCAGCACGACGTGTGGTCCATCGATTTCCCCATGGTTCTTCACTCCGACATTAACTTGGAACTGTAAATTCTGGCAGTTTATCGTCGAGATATTGATGGCCTGGCCGTTGGTGGTGGTGGAAGTGAGAGTGTTTGGTGGCTGATGGGTGGTGGTGGTGATTGGCTTTATGAGTATGGTGGAAGGGGCAGATATTATGAATTTTGAAAATGTTGAGTAACTTAAACCATGGCCAAACTCATAGATTGATTTTCCAGTGTAGAATCGATAGGTTCGTCCTGGGAAGTTCCGAGTGGCGTTGGCTCTCATGTTCATGTCTGTCATTGAGACTTGATCTGCGTATTCTTGTGGGTACCAAGTAAAAGGGGACCTCCCACCTGTTATCACATGTAATTTATCAATCTACCAGTGGATTGTGGCATCATAATGACTAGGCATCAAAGGAAGACGAAGCTAGATGGGTTTAAGGTTTAGACTTTGATTATACAATACATTTTAAAATCATTCGAATTTGGTTCAAAGCATACAAATATTGTACACGTAAGTTCGGGTCATTACAAAAAGTAACACTAGTGCTCCTGAATGTTACATGAAATGTGCAAGGACACGATGTGTGTAAATTCCAATGGACATTCAAAAATTGAATCTTGACAATTTATTGGGGTCAGGTTATAAAAGATTTATCTCTCATGAATATCTTAGTCCCGACATGGATGACCTGTCTTTGATCAGGATGGGAAAGGAATTAGTAGAGGTGCACATAAGTTGATCTGAACACTCTTCGGACCATTGAATAAAAAAAAAAGCATGGTGTGAGAGAGAGAGAGAGAGAGAGAGAGAGAACCTGGATTGTAGTCTCCAAATAAAACTTGAGCTATGGCATCCCCTCCAGCTTGGCCAGGATAGCCAACCCACAAAATTGCCCCAATGTTGCTATTGTTCTTGGCAAATGAAATGTCAATTGGACTAGCTGACATAACAACTAGCACCACAGATTTATTAGTAGCATTAGCCACTTCCATCACAAGCTCCTCTTGAAATCCAGGCAATGTCAAGTTCACCCTATCCAAACTCTCTCTCTCAATTGATTGATCAAGCCCCACCACCACCACCACCGCATCAGCGGCCGCAGCCACCTTAGCTGCCGCCTCAATTCTGCTACCATCAGCGCAGCCAACACTGACACACCCCGGCTCATATGTGACCGTCGAGACATACTTTTGCAAGCCTTGTAAAGGGGTGGTGTATTGGCAAGGCACGCCAGCATAGATGCTCAGCATAGCTTCAGTGGCATTACCATTTGGTCCAATAATGGCTAAATTTTTTGTACTGTTAGGAGACAGAGGAAGGACACCATTGTTGTCTAGCAAAACTATTCCTTGTTTTGCTGCTTCAACTGCCAACAGTTGATGATCATCGGTGCATACATCGGACGGGCCAAGTTTTCCGAATGGGAGCATTTTTGGGTCTCCATCAAAGAATCCTAGTCTCATTAGTACTATGTAGTTGTATAACAGTGCCTGATCTACAATCGACTCATCAACTTTCTGCAAGTTTACTGCATTTTCTGTGTATTTGCTAAGAAAATCCCCACAATTCATGTTCAAACCTGCATGATTATTGGGAAAGTTTTAACCTTATGATGGCTTTGAAACTGTTCAAGCTAATTAAAGATTACCTGCTTTTAAGGCAAGGGCTACAGCATCCTCAGGTGTGGCAGTGTAATGTATAGAGTCGTAGTAAACCTCAATGGAGTCACAATCAGAAACAATGTACCTGTGGCAAGGCAGAAAATATAAGCATGTCCACCAAGTAATTATTAGTTTGCTTAATTCCTAAACGTCATCATGATGCAAAGAATCGACCGAATATGATACAACTCGGTACTTGAGTTGTATTCGATCGACCTTTCTTTCGGATATCATTCCACGTTCTATAAATCCATAATTCTTACCAGACTCGTGTGTGACTCGGTCACATCTCAATCGACTTGGCCAAGTCATCGCCATCGGCTCTCAACATATGCCCAAATACTATTCTGCCACATCGTTTTATAACTTGAATCTCTAACCAATACTACGACATCTCCATTAACTGAATCATTGACATATCACTCTACATAACAGGGGATGCTACACTTCCTACCACATGGTTCTTTTTGGGCACCTAACATCAGAAGGATAAAGCATTTACATAAGAAAACAAAGCACTGCCAATCAAAACCATGGTGTGGGAACTAGGATGTCAATATATGACACGATTTATTAACACGACACGAATACAACACAAAATTAGAGGGTTTAGTTCTCTTTTAAGTTACCTATTTGGTAAATAAGTAAACTCGACACGAGACGATTAATAAACGAATCAGGTATGGGTGAAGCCAATCAAAAAAAATACACGACACGATTTGTGTATATATCGATTATACACAGTTCATACACTGCACGAATCCGATATAACACAACTCGTTAGAGACGAATTAATAAACGAATTGAGAATGAATAGAATATTTTTTTATACATCTGACACAACACTGTCCCACTCGACACATATGACAAGCCTAGTGGGAACAATTACAGGAGGGAAGCAATCCAAAATAGGCATAGAAGCTTGAATTTAAGGGAGAGAAACAAACCCATCTAGACCCCACTGGCCTCTGATTGTCCCTTTGAGCAAATCCGGGTCAGCACAGGTGGGAATTCCATTCACCCTGTTGTATGAACACATCACACTGCTGACATGCCCCTCCTCTACACAGCTCTTGAATGGTGGCTGAAAAGTATCCTCCATATCCTGTGGTGTTACCTAAAATAACCCAACAATTTCCACCAATTGTCATTATTGGTGAAAATTGAGTAATGTATCGTTGTAAAATGTTGTGAATTGTGATCGTATTCTATATTAGTCTATTTTAAACTTACTCATCTAGTTAGTTAATCATGTCATATAACCTGACACTAACTCTAACCAGTACGAATTAGACTTGCATCACCCCTAGACGAAAAATCCGACATTAGAATTTCTCTCTCTCAACTGAACCCACCACCCATAGGTACCCATAAACTAAACTTCTTGTTTGTCCACATACTAGCAAAACACAAAAAAAAATTCACTAATTTTATAAGGATTCATATAATATCAGATAAATAAATAAAAAAATTAAATACTTCCCATACAATACTTGTTAAGCAGGTTTATGGTGTCAAAATAGTGTTATTCATATTTGGCACTAATCATTTTTGTTTAATAAACATGTTAGCGGATCGGGTGAGATTTGTTTTTTTTTTTTTTTCAACGGTCAGGGGTGTCCGGGTCAATTTATACACACCTCGACTAATCTCCCCGGTCCAATCAAAAATAGGTTATCCACGCCAAGAGTAGGATATTTATGAGAGATAAATCCCTCATTACTTGGCCCAAGATTCAAATTTAAGACGTTTAAATTTTTCGCTCATCCCTCGTACCACTTAAGTTATCTCGGAATTGGGTGACATTTGTATTGTCTTACAAAAATTATATTTAATTATGAAATTCTCAAGCTTACCTGTGCATCAAAGTGAAATCGATCAACACCTTTCCAGTTATCAATATCATAAGCAGTATAGTGCTTACAACAACTTGCAACCTTGAGCCTCTGATCAGTACTACTAGAGTTCCCCTGCTCATCACCAATCTCTTGCAAACCTTTGACATAGTTCACAGCATATGTTGAAACCACCAGAGGGTCCTCTCCAGGGGTCTCCTGACCCCTCCCCCATCTGGGGTCCCTAAACACATTCACATTTGGACTCCAAAATGTCAAGCCAGCAAGACCACCATTGTACATGGCTCGAGCCTCGGTTGACACCACCCGTCCCAGCTCGAGCCATAAAGAAGCATTAAAACTGGCAGCCGAAAGAATGACTGCTGGAAAACTCGTCGCTCCGGGCACTGTTGCATTAAAATGTACTCCAGGCCCAGTGTTTGACACTCCATGCAGTGCCTCGGACCACCATTCATAGGCGGGCACGCCTAGCCTGGAAATGCCTCTGGCACCATTAACTAGCTGTTGCACCTTTTCTTGGAGGGTGAGGCGTGACACGAGGTCTTTGGCTCGGTCTGCATAAGGTAAAGATGTGTTACAGAAGGGGTTGTCGCTGGTGCTTGGGTTGGTCTCGTCGCAGGCATATTGATGAGTGTCACGAGGGATTAGAAGGAGTAGTATGAACACCAGAGGGGAGGGAAGATGTTTTTTCATAGCTCTCCCTAGTTCTTTTCTCTTAACTATTTTTTACTGTATAGGGACAGGTGATTACAAGGACTACCTCTCAATTTATAGCAGAGGGTGAGCCTTAAATTCCATCAACCCTTTCAACTTTTAGTAATAGCAAGAAGTTAACTTTTTTTTTTTTGGGGAGAAAAACTTAATATTTTTTGACAGGCCACGAGAGTTTTATCCCTCGTGAATACCTTAATCCAGGCGTAATCTAGACGTGGATAGTCTTTCTTTGATTGGACCGGAAAGGAGAGTAGTTAAGGTGAACGTAAATTGACCCGAGCACCCCCAACTATTGANTATCCCTCGTGAATACCTTAATCCAGGCGTAATCTAGACGTGGATAGTCTTTCTTTGATTGGACCGGAAAGGAGAGTAGTTAAGGTGAACGTAAATTGACCCGAGCACCCCCAACTATTGAATCAAAAAAAAAACTTAATGTCTTAATTTCAATTATTCACTTCACTATGAATTTATATTTCTACTCGATCTGGTCCATTATTATAGTTACTTAGGTCCCCTATTAGGATTCTACACAGACATTTTTAACATTATGTGAGTCTACTGTAAATCCCACTTACCAAGCAACAAGGTTATTGTTGTAAAGCAACAGAATTCGGCTCAAGCAAGCCATGGACTCTCTCTCTCACTCTCTCTTTCACGTACACACACAGATGAGAGGGTGCCTTGGAAGAAAATGCAAACACAGCACGCTAAGGAAGGTCGCTAAGGCAACTATGTCACACATGAATGCATTAGGGAGTACTCCACTAAGAAAATACATATTTGGGCTCTACATTTGCTTGGTTGCTTTTTTAATACTATCCCAATCCATAGTTTAGTGGTAAATTGTATGTATTTAATGTCGTTCTTGACTTTCATGTGGTTATCAAGCAAGGGGATGGACTATGGTTCTATGATGACGGACTGTCATTTTGAATTAATAGTTATGGATCAAACCGGACAGTCTACAAGGAGACTCTCATGCATGGTCTCTCTCAAGGGGTTATTAACTACCTACTGATGCTATAATCTCGTTTTATCCAGTCAAAGCTGTCTTAATTTCTGTAAGTTGTTCTTCTACTGCACATTTACGTTTGAATCGGAGTTACTTTAAAGGATTCACTTAAACTGATCTAATATGGTGGATCCTCCACTACTCACTCATGGAATATTGCTCTAAGGAATCTCAAACCCAATGGAAGAAATTGTCAGGTCACACTTGCATCATAGAAGAGACCTTCTTACGTTACGTTTTGGATTAATGTATTAAAATGAAGGGATTTGGAATAAAATAGATGATAACCAAGTAAAACGATGAATTACTCGATTGAAAAATAAGTGAAACGATAGATCAAATAGAAGATTATTATTAATTGCTTGTGTTTGAAGGCATAAAATTAAAAAAAAAATGTGTATGTTGTGTCATTATACATAGCCAATCCATGGACCATGTTATCCTATCTCTATTATATTAGATCAAGATTTGGATAAGGAGTAGATCCATTGTTGTAATATTAAAGTCATATTTGGATGAGGATTAATGTGTGGTATTAAGTTGAAAAAGGCAAAAACACCCTACATCAACGCAAAAATCTCTAACTCAGAAGGACATTCTTGTTATTTTGGATACTAATACTAATCATGTCGCATTCTATTTCATGGTATTGGTTTATATTGATGTGGGATGTTAGATGATATTTTAGCATTGGATTGATATTAACAATGTCATTAGAACCGAACATTATAATTTAAACTAATCTTATTATTTAGTGATCGAAGTAATGCTATACTACCCAAATTGTATCCTAAAAAATTCAGGACAAATGAGTTGACACTTTCGCACACCTTATATTTTAAGAAAAAACTAATTTATTGGGACCCACAGTGTGATGCGTGAAGGTGCCAAATCATTTGAAATAAGTTTTTTAGAATACAAGC